ATTGAGTAGAAACAAAATAGCCAAACAAACAAACAAAACATACTTCCAAAAAGGACAGAAATTTAGGATTTGTACATATTTAGGTCTACTGTTTCTAACCCCCATGTTTGTGTGATTGACCATGCCTTCAGGCTGCTCATGATTAAAAAGTGTGCATGTAACAGTGTGACCTTGTGGTTAAATCTTAGTTAAATCTAATTCATCCTTGGTTAGATCCATAAATACACCACAAGAAAGCGGTAATTATTTTTTGCGCATTACCTTTCACTTTGAAGCTTCGTAGTTTTGCTGATTAGGTCTGAGGTCTGGTCTCTTGCAGACTAACAAAAACACAACAGAAAAAGCAGACAATTACCAGAGGGTTTTTGTACACTATCCCTGGGGAATTCCCCCGGGGGGGGGGGGTACTACCATATATGGGCTATATAGGTATGTGCCGCTGTGAAGGGTATGGTTTTCAAGCAGTTTACTCTAGGACAGGGTATATAAATCAGAGCGTTTGGCTCTAGAATAGGGTATCATTTTTCAGGAAACTGATCAGTTGGTTGAAGATTTTATCTAGACTAGGTACACAGCTACTCTAGGATAGGGGGATTTGGGGATTTTACTCTAGTATAGGGTAGCAAAATTCAGCTGAACTAGCTCTGGTAAAGGTTAAGGGTTCCAGGCCCCAGCGGCACATCCCCACCCAGAAATTCCTACAGTGCCCCCCACGGGGGAATTCCAGAGTCATAACAAGTGCATTAGTATGCATTCAATGGGCCCCTTGTGTGTCCAAATTGTGTTTTACAATAACTAGGTGATTAAATTCTTGTGTGCCAAATGGTTGAAAGCTAAGGTCAATAATACTATACACCAAGAAAACTATGTGATGGTCACACAATTTCTTTTTCTTTTTCTTTTTCTTATGTGCACAATTTTCCCAATAATTCCAATTGAAATGGAAGTCAAAAACTATCAATGTTATTCAAACATTGCTTCTCACTTCCACTACAAGAAAGATTTGCAAAGATGAAAGAACAGTTGCACTTTGATATAAGAAGGGTGCCTTAGGCTGTTCTGTAATGTGCCAGTCTTGATCAACCATAATTTATACCGAATACAACTATTCCAGCATCGTGCCCATCAAACTTCATAGGGAAGTCAAGGTATCATTATAGCGTCATGATATAAAAGCTAACCTTAAGCCTGCTTGTCATTTCCGTGCAACATCTGCTCATTTCCTCAATGTCTGAATGCACATCATCGAGTTGCTACAAGACGCAAACTCAAGAGTTGAGGAACAGTAATTTAAAGTAGTAGAGAACACTGTATTTAAGTTAGTTTTGAAACTAGCTTAAACTCAAACATGATGAGGCAATCTTCTTATCTCTTACCTGCTTTACTTCCCTGAATGCAATCTCGAAGCTCTCGTTGATAGCTAAACTTCTTTTTTCAATGTTTCCACGCAAATTTCGTCGAGATCGCAAACTATTATCAGCAAAAAATGTCGAGAGGGCCTTCAGGGCCTCCACCATTTCCTGCAGAATAACAACAAATTTTGCTCGATTAACCTTTTTTTCCTACCAAGAGAATACATATGGATATAGAAATACTTTTACCTTGTCATTGTCTAGTCTAGTTTCTAGGATCTTGTTTAGTTTTCTTGATAGCGGGTTGTTTGGTTGGGATTCACTGCCCTCCGCCATATTGGAAAATATCCTACGTGGCCATACGATTGCGCATGTTGCTCTCAGAACACCGCTGTCCAAATGAACTGCATTCATACTTCCCCTCTCCTCTCTGTCACAGATCCGGATGAAAAAACATCTTTTTTCATGTAATCACCTGGCCAGGAGCCATCACATTTTCTGTCAATCAAGTCCTATGCCCAACAACTCGTTTTCACAGACCAAAATTTGATATCAAATACAGTCGAACCCCGCTTGAGGGTCTGGAAGGGTAATTTCGGGATCCGGGATTTGACCAAAATACGGTACGCGATTCGGAAAACGCAAAATATATTGGCGGGAAACGCCATGTGTGTGCTGTGCTACCCAGGCAGCGCGATTCACCAAAATTTGGGCACAGGATGAGGGATGTCTGTCGGGAATTCGGGAAATCATGACGACTCAAATACACGTTCTAGCGGCAAATGCGATTCAACAAGGCTAGCGTTCAGTGTGTCTCCTTCAGGGGCGGATCTAGGGGGAGGGTGCAGGGGTGCGCACCCCCCCCCCCATCCCCTGAGATGACCTGTGGTTTTCTAATACAACTGGTATTCTGCAAAAGAAAAAAACTATGTGGTCTATTGTGCGCCCCCCCCCCCCCATCCCCTGAGATGACCTGTGGTTTTCTAATACAACTGGTATTCTGCAAAAGAAAAAAACTATGTGGTCTATTGGTGTTGAAGTAGAGCAAGAGACGAGTGCACCCCCTCCTAAAAAAAATCCTGGATCCGCCCCTGTCCTTTCAACTGAGCAAATTATACATAGTGATCTGGTTAATGATTAACTAACTGAAACTGTCAAGTAGTGAGCAGACGAACTGACAGAAGACCCACTGTTTCAACCACATGCCAGGAAAGTGCAAGTGGTGCAATAGCATACCAGTAAAAGAAAATTTTCCTAAATCCAATATGGCGGACAGTTGAGAAAATCAACAGAGCAGGCAAAAATCCTGCACATGCGCAGGTCGCGACATAGCTCCTTTAAAAAAAATAACTAGTTATGCAGAGAACAGTTTTTATAATTGAGCTGATTTTTGAGCGTTTCCGTGGATTTTGCCCGCGGAATGACGATTTTGTGAAGATTAGAAGTGTTCACAATGCTAAAATGTTCTCTTTTATTCCTTCTGTATTTTGCTTGTACAAAAGGTTTTTTGTTTTAATTAAATAACATGACCCTCTTAATACGGACACTTTCTATGGTCCCTTCAGTGTCCGTATTAACGAGGTTTGACAGGGCTCCTGGGTTTGACTGTATGTCCTAAAAATCTATTCCGATTATACTAACCCCCCTCGGATAAAAGCCCCTTCGTTTGTAAGCCTTCTTAAAACCCCTTACCTCTGCCTATAAAGAGCACTTTTTGGTATCATACTATGCATGTGTATTGACACCAATACGAAATAGAGCTTCCATTTCGCGAGAAAATACGACACAGCAGCCTAGTCCCTAGGCGTTCTCTCTTGACCCGTTGTCCGCGCGAAGTCCGGGAAAGAGCGGGCGAGGGTTCTCGGTGAGTCTCTCTCGGTGACGTCATAGCTCACGGTAGAGTCCAGGATTGACCGCGCCGAGAATTCCTAGGGACTAGGCTGGAGAAACAGCATAACGCGAAAACTAATTTGTAAAGGTAGATTTCAAAGCTACAGTCAGAAATTCGGAAGCTTTTCTTTAGATGTTTTTAAAACAAAAAGTAGCTTAAAGTGTTCATTAATACATAACAAGACAATGAGGATGAAGTGTTAAGTTTATTTCATCCTGTTCAATCTTGCATTGCAGGGGATGAGTGCAGTTCAATAATATTTTTGACACGAAAACATTCCCCAGTCACAGCACATGACTAAGCCACCTGCCATTCTCCAACCAAACTGAGCAAATTGAAAAGTATGTTTATTTCTCTGCGAGACAAATAAGAAAGATTATTGACTGACGGCGAAAGAAGAGCAAATTAAAGCTGGCCTGGTGATAATCGCGGTCAATGTCCTGTTTAAATAGTGTTAATTATAGATGATTGCGTAGAATCTTTGTGCAGGTCCTTTTAGTATACACAGTGCATTTGCTCTTGACTCAGTGACTTGGGGCCAAATAGGACACATTTACGGAAAGATTGGTATTCAAGGGTGTTAATTAAATAATAAATAACGCCACAAATTTTGATAGAGTTGAGCAAAATCAAGGGTTGCATGGTTCGGTAAAACTTTCAATTAACGCGAATAACTCATAACTGCTTCTAGAAATTGTTAATTCGCTCCAATTAGATTTACGTTGATATTTAGAGCACTTGATATTTGATGACTAGTATGCCTACGCATACAAGCTCATTAATTTGTAAAACGCAAGATTACGATTTAACAGCTAGGTCTTTGTTAAGACGCAGTGCCAACGAAGACCCCTGGTGGTTAGAAAATAAGCTCACTGAGTACTGCAAAACATTGAAAATTTCCTGTTCGGAAATTTCAAAGGTGAGGAACTCGAATTTTGAATATGAAAAGCATATTCACAATTATCTGAATACCGTTTTCCCATATCCTATACCTGCGACTGGAAATCTCAAACTGATTCCAAATATGGATATGACAAACTTTCATTCTGTGGATTTAATTACTTTCCAGTAATTGCAAGATTTAGGCTAATACTTCAGAATTCAGGTAAGCTTCCGTTCGTTTCGGAGTTAAGGCTCACAGCGATGTCCTCAACGAGATTAAACTGAGTTTGTCTAACTTCAGTAGGACCCAAGAGGACATATCCATCTTTGAGAAGCTATGTTCAACAAACCAGATAGACAAGTATTAGTGTGGATTTTGTGTCATAAACGTTTTCTACGAATGCGAAAAAAGTTGCATGACCTGGCTATACCATTCGAGAATCAAAAACCCGTGTGCAGACGTAGTTGATGAAAAGTTTGAAAGCCGGTCCATCTTGTAATTTTGTTTACAAAAATGTAATATACTATCAATATATATGACACAAAATCGATCCACATTCAAGTAAAAAAATTAGTTTCTCGTTAAAATCCAGGTCATTAGCCAGAGCTATATGTTTTAATGCTTCTACCAATTGCTAGTGAATTGTTTGGAGAAACCACAGGGTTGCGAAAACTATTAGGGAACAAATCTCAAACAATGGGCGAACGACCAATCGGAGATGGGGTTCACAAATTTCAGTAAAACTCGACACAAACCAAGCCATTAATAAATTGTTTGAATTCAGTCTTGTATTGAAGTCTGGGTGTGAATATGCAACGTTCACCTGTTCTTCGGCTTGTCGTTCCATACCCTAACCTGGTACGTGGATACCTAAATGTTAGGTGAGGTTGCTCTTAAAAATTAGTTTGTTGCAAAACATTTGTAGCTTTTTTTGACCTCAATTTTCTATTTTGTGGGCAGCTGGCATGCATGTTCAAGTTTGCGTACTTGTATCCGAAGGCAAGTTATGTCACAGTTCCAAAACAAATATCACCAAGGTCAACATTTAGAAGCGATAAACTGAAAATCTTAAAAAAAATTCGTACTCAAGAAAAAGGTGATGATTTACTGTTTTTTTTTTTTTAACATATGATCTATACTATCTGCGTGAATCAATGACAATTTGGCATACATTTCTCGATATAACTAAATCTTAATAAAGCCTCTTCTCGCTTTCATTTCAGTCTGCTAGGAATTAATAACTACTGGTACGGACATATAGCCGTCTAAATTAGGCTCATCTCGCTTAAAAAGGAAGTTGGGCTTTCTACAGCTAAAACATATTACTTTTCCACAGTCGCCACACGCTACAGATTGGATATAAATACCATGACCGAGTTAAAAGTTTCAATCATAGTCTTCTGTACTTTTTGGAAGTTATAATGAGTGACACTTTTTTATCGCTTGAATTTCAACACAGAAATTTCTTGAAATCATTTTTCTTTATCCCAGCGATTTCGCCAAATTTTTAAATTTGCTTGATTTTAAACAATGTCAACGTTATTTAGCATAAAGATGTTTCACTGAAACACCACAGTGTTATGACGATCAGTCGAAAGTTTTGATTTACTCGTATTCAGCTACGATATGGCTGATATTTAATGGCGAAAGAAGTTTGCGAAAACTCAAATGAAGACTGGTCAACTTCATATGTAATTTGTTTGGTTATCCTTCAAACGTAGAAGCTAGCAAACCTTTTTGGCTTGTTATTTTCGAGACGAAACACCTGACGATTAATTTTTTACGATAACAGTTGTTTTTCTTTGTTTTGAATATTTCGAAGAAAAACATTAGATGAAGATCAAGTGTTGATGAAATAGTATTCTTTCTATCTTTAATGATAATAGCCATTATGAGCGCGGTTTTTGATGATGCAACTCGGCTCATGTAAACTAGAAAAATTCCAGTTTTTTTTTCTTATGACGAAGACAATTCAGTTTTCTATATTTCTAAACATCAATCTTTGCCAAGTCGGGCGTCTTTCCAGGCCTTCTCGGTCAATGCATCTCAAAAACTCGCTAGGACATCCACGTGACTCAAAACGCATGGTCCGTGCGGAATAATGAGGCCTAGGGAGTAAGCAACATAGCCAGTGTACAGATCCCCCCCCTTCCCCTCAGGAAAAATCGGAGAAGGGACCCCAGTAGACTCCAGATACCTCAAACCCTCGCGCTTATTCGAACCGAAGTCGTTTCCCCTTGGATTTCCTTATTCATACATTAACTGTAATTTTACCCTAGGCCCTCGGCAACTCGAACTCCCCCGCCCCATCGGTACGTATACCTCCCCTGAAATCGAAATAATTTTTGTCTCCCTTCAGATCATTTCTATATAATTTTACCCTCGATAACTCGAAACATGTCGTGACAAGTCGGGAAAAAAGAATAGCGTACTGAAGTCTAAAACACTAAACAGTGTCAATTCTTTGTCTTTACCTTTATGTCACTCCAGTTCAAATTCAGTGTCCATCCCTGTTTCAAGCTTTGAGGCTTTTTTGTTTTTCAAAATATCAGTCTAGATCATCTGCTGCCCTTAAAGTGAAGTGTGCATGATACTTGCATTCCCTCCCCATCCATTTGCCTTATTTCAAGTTCTGAATGTTCATGGGTGTTTAAAAAGGGAACTTTATACACTTGTCGATTACTGACAAAGTATCTGTCACATTTTTATGCCCTTTAAGACTAATGATTTGTTTGGAAGTTAAAAGTATTTCCACACGACCTAGGACCAGATGGAGAAAAGTTTTTTCGGTCCCTATGGTAGCCTTAAGGAAAATTAATCTCGCTTTTAATTAATTATAGATAAGTCAAAGACAGTTCGTCTCTGTGTTTCACATTTGAACTGACTTTGTTATGGTCCATGGTAGATATAGACAACAAATATTAACTGAAAGTTACAGCTCGTGCATTTAGTTTCAATTGATATAACTGTCTTTTTCTATTACAGAGGATAACAAAGGTTTTTCAAAACAAACAAGAGCACAAACTCCACAAAGTCATTCCTTTTCATAACAACACAATAAAAACAACACGCTACGACCAGCGAAAGAATACAACACTGAACAATTCGGCGAGACACCAGGTCGCGATCACAATAAATATGGGCAACAGTAAAACAAAACTGAAGAAAGAGGAACTGGATGACCTGTTGGAATGCACTCATTTTTCGAAAAAGGAAATCGAGGACTGGTACAAAGGATTCATGAAAAGCTGTCCAGATGGATCTGTTTCGTGCGCTGAGTTTCAAGACATGTATTCAGATTTTTTCGAAGGTGACGCGTCCGAATTTGCAAACCACGTTTTTCGTACTTTCGACGCGGACAAGAGCGGCTTCATCGACTTCAAAGAGTTTATGTCCTCGCTGTCCATCACCTCACGAGGAAACTTGGAAGAAAAACTGGAATGGGCCTTCAAGATTTACGATGTCGATGGCGATGGGTTCGTTACCAAATCGGAAATGGAAGACATCATAAGATCAGTGTATAAAATGTATAATAACAGCCGTCTTGGAAAGAAGGAAACTCCACAGCAACGCACGACTAGAATTTTTGAAAAATTTGACGCCAACAGAGATGGTAAACTAACGATGGAGGAGTTTAAGTCTGGAGCAAGAAGTGACCCGTTTTTGGTATTGATGATGCAATACAAGTCACTGCACACTGATCGAAAAGATTCCGATTCTTCCGTGTCCTCTGACAAAAGCAGTTATTAACTTAGGACTTCGGGGTAGTTTAAGCTCCGTTGAAAAATTGGTGTATCGAAACGCTTGAACTTGTAGTTACTAATTCGACAACTCTTTAAAATAAGAGACAATAGCTGCTTTAGAATGCCTAAATGGTACGTAGATACACATATATGCGACTCGAAACCAATTACTTTAATGAGTTCTACGGTATGCTCATTTTCCTACTCAAGCATTAGGTGAGCCTGGGTGATATCGTGAAAACTCACGCGCGTGTCACGTGAAAGGATCGAGGTTCCACTGGCGAAAAATGTCTACGCATTCGCCGCGACGAAAATCACATGGTCAATTTCCGGCAAAGCCATTGGCTTATTCGAGGCAAAATCCCCGCGAAGTGTTGTCAAGATGAAAGAAGAAATGGCAACTTTTTTTGTCAGTGGTAGGCTTGGATAAAATCTCCTAGTAAAATGGCTTATTCTGCCTGCCGGCAGTGCCCGTAAAAATTGCTAATTCTCCTCAAAATTCTGCTCGGACACCCCTATTCTGCTCGAATTCTGCTCGGTATATAGAAGGAAGCCTAGGCCTAACCCCTAAAAACTAATTAGATATTCACTATGTGTAGCAGCAAAATTGTAATTCATCTTACGTTTAATGTGGGTGAGTTGTAGCTATTAAATAATCAACAAATTAATTACAAGTTTCCATTTGTTTTTTATTTAGTTTTAAATTTTTCTTGTAACCGATGCATATCATTAGTGCCGCTGATTTTCCCTTATTCTGCTCAAATTCTGCTCGAAAATGCCTTATTTTGCCTTCAGAATGCTTGCCTCAAAAATGGCTTATTCTGCTCGAAATTCTGCCTGTAGAATTTATCCAAACCTGGTCGGTGGTGATCGAGATGCAAGAGCGATGGGCCGCCGTTTCTCATGGCGTTGGTCGCCGTTGCTCACCAGTTAAAATGGGGAGCTTGCTCGCATGCCATGCAGATCAGCCTGGCCAACGATTCAATGCAGCATACTATTGAAAACAATGTAATTTCACTTAAAACAATGGGAGAAAGAACTCACAGCTCTTAAATAGTACACAAAACTTAGCAATGCCTCATATTCGGTTTGGTCAAATATTAATTTACTTTTTCCTTTAGAAAGATTTTTCCCCTCGACATGTGAACTACTTACAACCCATTTAGTATTGCAGCTTGTTCTAAGGCCTAGGGTCATGATTATCAAACACCCTTTCCTCTGTCTGCGAGCCCCGCCCATGATCGTGCAACTGGGCCGCGGTTTTAAATGAAAATGCTTAACATTTAACATTCTGGTTCGATCCTATTAGACAAGGAAAAAGTCACACAACTTAAAAAAATTGTTTTAATATGTAAACGGCCTCTTTCCGAATTGGGAATGGTCAATCTTCATCGATGTTTTACGGTTATTGGAGGACAAAATATGTGACATTTTGTAAGGAACGTGACCTAATCAAGCATGAATCAATGAATTTCTTATAAAATTCTGTGTACATGAAATCATTCCGCGCGAAGCGCCGAGCCGCGAGATTTATAATCTCGTCGCGCGCGAAGCGCGCGTGTATCACTCAAGCATCGCAAGGCCAGCGTGATTTCCTCTTGGCTATAAATCTATCGAGTTTGGTTGGTGTCCGCCTTGACGTCATCCAGTAGTGACGTCAAAGTGCACTATGGGTTTCCAGGCAACCGATTGCCATCGATGACAAAGGATTTCCAGCCATTTGTTGAATCCACCGTTGTTGAGTTTGCTGTTCTGTTTTATTTACCTGAGATGTTGGGTGGTGACTCACCGACCGTAAACATTGTTATAATTCACAGATGAAAAAACCCGTCTTCAAGAAGAAAACCCAGAGCTTTGTCATCGATGGCAATCGGTTGCCTGGTAACCCATAGTGCACTTTGACGTCACTACTGGATGACGTCAAGGCGGACACCAACCAAACTCGATAGATTTATAGCCAAGAGGAAATCACGCTGGCCTTGCGATGCTTGAGTGATACACGTGCGCTTCGCGCGCGACGAAATTATAAACCTCGCTGCTCGGCGCTTCGCGAGGAACAAAATTGTAAGATATCATCGGAATCAAAGACAAACTTGGCAACTTCAGCTGCATCTTCACAGGCAAGAGAGCTACTTCGACGAAGTAAATGTGCTTCTGACACTTTCAAAAGTAGGTTGAGTTTGATCGTCCGGGTGAACGTAGTCCTGAATAGGACTGTTGTTGTTGACAGAGACTGACCTTTCGACAACCTGTGCGGTAGTCATCTTCAGAGTCAAAGTCATCTTCACTGTCAACAACAACAGTCCTATTCAGGACTACGTTCACCCGGACGATCAAACTCAACCTACTTTTGAAATGACTCTTGGGTTCAAACCTTTCACAATTTTATAACACTTTATATATATAGTGTTTTTCTAGTGTATGACCCGGCAAGTGAGTTTTATAAAAACAAGTACATACAAAGGTATTGGCCATCGACTAATTGGATTTTGTGTTTATGTTTCTGTTGTTGTTCCACAGTGCTACAAGCCTCGCCTGATTAAGTTGGCCAAAATGTGGAAGCCACTATTACCTCTTTTAAGATTGCCCGTTAGACAAGGACGGTGTTGTGTCGACCTGTTATAAGATCTGAAAAGGAAAGCTTGAACTTTCCTGGTGTCATGTTACGATTTGTGGAAATTAAATGCATTTTTTAATGGTGGCTCGTTTGTGTCTACTGTGTTTAGATGCTGTACTCGGACAATGCTCTGTCCTGAGGCACATCTCCGTATTGGCCATATAAGGGAGTATGCCCTCCCGGGTAACCATTGCATGCAAACCATCTAGTACAATGGCCAGGCTTAAGAATATTTGCCCCACCCCTCCCCGCCCCCGACCACAGGGACCGTGAATAAAGTTGAATGGTTTGAATAAGCGGAGATATAGATTATATACAGCCGACTCCCGATAACTCGAACCCTCAAGGGAAATCGAAAAAAGTTCGAGTTATCGGGAGTTCGAAGAAAATAGCCGAGAGTAAGGTAAAAAACAGTTTTTGCTGCACAGTGAACATTTTAATCACATTTAATTGTAGAAATGTTAAGTGAAAATTAAAAGATACTTCTAGATTATAAATCAGAACGTAACGCAACAAAACATAACCTAAATAGAGCATGCGTTTTACTGTTTTGAGAAGAAGAGCTGCTTCATGTTCACGTTAGCCAGTGACAATCAACATCAGCCTCCACTAGTAAACTATACTCCTACAACACTTCAATAGGAAATCCAAAATTCAATGTTTCGGACGCCCGTAGACGGCTTTTTTCCCGACTTTTCAAGGACTCAAAACATGGTTCGAGTTATCGAGGGTAAAATTATGTAGAAAATGACCTGAGGGGAAACGAAAATTGGTTCGAGTTAGCGCGAGCTCGAGTTATCGAGGGTTCGAGTTACCGAGGGTAAAATTACAGTGAATGTATGATGGAAATCCAGGGGAAATCGATTTTGATTCGAGTTAGCGCGAGGTTCGAGTTAGCGAAGGTTCGAGTTAGCGGGAGTCGACTGTAAGTAGTGTTATCAGTTACGTGCTTACAGACGTCATCATCTATGTTTATGAAATACCATTCATATTATTTTAATGTTGACAAAGTCATTAAGTTGAATCACGCTCAAAAGATTATTACAAAGTGCGATGGAATTATTACAAATTGCAACAGCTTAGTTTATTACAAAGTGCGAGGGACATTTATTACAAATTGCGACAGCGTTTTTATTACAAAGTGAGACACGGTTTCATGAACAAATTGCGACAGGTAATACAAATTGCGATGAATTTATTACAAATTGCGACAGGTATTACAAAGTGCGATGATTATTACAAATTACAGGGAAGCCTTTCTCAAAAGAAAATTTTTTCGCGGTCTAAAAATAAGGGGGTGGTCCCCCGGGCCCTTCCCCTGGATCCGCCACTGAAGTGGGAAGAACGGCCGCTGATAGGGCTGATCCAAATTGAAGCAGGCGTTCACAATTGATTCAGAGGCCGAGCTTTTCATGTACTTAATTCAATGCAATAGGTTCGGCTGCGTCGCGTCGCGCCGCTTATATGAAAAAAACTACGTGACTGAGACAATTAAAGCGACGCGAACGACTTCGTAAACGCTAAAAGCCATGCAAGAGAAAAATCTCCACTAGCAGGGTAGAGTTCGTCATGATAACCAACGGTGCTTCACTAGCCTCGCTTTCGCGCAACTAGACCCGGGCCGACCGACAGACTGATCCGCCATATTTGCATTCGGTGTATTAGATTGTAAATAATAAATCATGTAGCTGAACAGTGGATGAAATTAAACTAAAGTGTTTTATTTTTGTTTGGTGACATATCGATCATGACAGATGTTTCCTCCAGTTTTAATTATTTAGCAAAGCTGTTCATGAACTTTCTGTAAAACGCTTTTCTTCTGAGTGAATAACTGGCCCTAATAACGATTTTCATGTACCCGCAAGTATGATTGAGTAAAAATTTAGAAGTTAATGAAAAGTTATCATCTTAAAAAACTTTAAATTGTCTCCTCCAAGTTACCAACACGGAAAGAGGAAAAAGTCATAATTAAAAGACGGAGAGACACTTGCACTGACTTGCGCAAGCAATTGTCTTCAAAGGAAAAAACGTACAGAATAACTTAAGAGAAAAAGATTTAAACAAGTTCTTAAACTCGTTCCTTTGCGATAAAACTAAAAATGTGGCATCAGTAATTAAAATTTCTCCTTATGGATCTTGGAAAAGAAACTAACAGGTTGTTAAATTTCTCATCGCCAACTCTAGCGGTTTTTTGGCGCGCGAATCTCAACTTTTCATGAAAATTTGAATGACTTACACTTCGATAAAACAGATGGCTACTGGACTAGGTCCATGCATTCACATTTTACGTATATCATCTTCATGATCTTGCAGTATCTATAACAGACGTATTCGCAAGCTCCTAACTAATAACTAAAGTGCTACTATGAGGAAATATAAAAAACAAAAATACAATAAATCGCAGGGGTAAACATCACACTGAAAAAACGTAGTCAGAGATGGTGGCTTTAAATTTTGCAGTTGAATCCTTTGTTTAATAGCAGCCTAACAAATAATTTTTACCAGATCCTGCCAAAACATGCTTCAGGACGAAAAAATAGGTTGTGAAGTACAGGCCGACAGGTTCTTTTTTTCTTAACCAAAAAAAATGATACTTTAATAATAATAATAGTCATAATGATAGCAAAAAATATGCTAAAATCATGAATTATTATTGAACAGCACGGTTGAGGACAGCATCGAGACTACTGCAATTATCTTTGTCAAAGAAAACTTTTGACCATCTAATATGGTTTTAGTCAATATTTTTCATTTAAGGTGTTTTTTCCTAAACAACCTCCTTTGAGAACTACCGTCAAAAATAAAATAATAATTGCCCCCGCAGGGATTTCGCCCATAGGGGCGAAATCCCGAGGAGGCACCCTAGTAACTCGCGCGTATATTAAGGACAGTACTTACAGTTCAAATATACAGTCAGCATACTTGAAAAAATCTCGATTTGCTCGAACAGGGGCCGCGAGGAATCGGTAGGTAATGATGACGTTTCTATTGTTTGCGCCCGCAAGTACGAAATGGTTACGATGACGTAAAGACAGAAAATCCCAAAGGGACCGCTCAGGTAGATTTTGTGACATTTATTGTGCAGTCATACTTCGATACTCTTTTGCGTTACGCAGTGACATTCTGTGGAGCAGTTGTTTTGAAAGTTACGGAACAAAAGACACTCGTTAAGCGCAGATGAGGTTATAAGGTGCGTTTGACTGTGTATATATAAACACTTGGAGAGTTTGCCAGACACGAGTTCACAAATCTTTGATTTATATTTGAAACCTTGCCAGACACTCTTTCTCTCTCTTTGACCGGAATAAGACTCAGCCCGAAACAAGCAAGACGAGTGAATAACGGCTAGCTTATCACTAGCAGATTGATGGACAATTACAGAAATGCACCGACAATCAAATTCTGTGCTGACTTATTCCCTGCTCACAGATGTCCTTCCGTAATTATAAAGTTTCAAATAAGACTAGAATGCGCGAGCGTGAATCGATCAAACATCCTTTTAATTTCTAAGGCTTAGTTTCCGCAAATAAAAGGAACTGAATGTAAAAAGTGAAAGAGAAATAGCGAAAAATTCAACTTCCAATTAGATCTTTTCTTATGGTTTAGAATAAACTATTCTCGAAACTGAGAATGTTTTGATCAAAGCTGTGTAAATCGAGCTGAAACTGTGCATGGAACCTTGCGTTTCCTGTATTTATCTCACCTATTGTATGGAATATGTGTGAAAATCTTCATTATGAATCGGTATATTTCAAAGAGCTACACAACCAGCAAGAATACTATTGACCGACAATATACATAACGGGGGCAGCTGTAGTGTCAACCATTACTAGTATTAATAAAAAAAGTGTCAGCCAACTGTATAACCTGCCATGATGACATATGAAACCTTTAGCGTAAAAGAAGTTACATGCTAAAGTTATTTAAGTTATACATCCTAAGTAAACAGGCAGGAGTAAACTCCAGATCTTTTGTCTGATAAGGTTTCTGCGTTTGGCAATAATAGACCTTTTCACGGTTTATGACGCCATCTTGGCTGGGGGCAAATACGGTTAAAATTACAGTGAATGTATGGGATTTTGGCCCACTTGGAACCGCTATAACGCCGTTACAAAGAGGCGGATTTCCAACATATACCATCTACCTTAAATAGTTTTATTGATATCATGCATTCAACAGAGAATAAGGCTATTTAAGAAGGTACGACGTCCGTAAATTCGAATTGTAAAACTTCTCATATGGCTTCTAATTTCATAGTCATTTGCCTAATGTTGATTAGAAGGGTTTGTATAAAAAAAATTCGTTTACGGTCGTTTTAACCTGAAACTCTCCTTCATACTTCATGTAATTAATCTCAGTACAAATGTCTTTTAAAAAATATATTTTCGCTGTGGAAATATTAATCCGACTTTTTGTAGGGGAATTATAGCGGTTTCAAGTGGGCCAAAATCCCATACATTCACTGCCGTGATTTTAGCCGTGTTTGCCCTCCAGCCAAGATGGCGTCATTAAACACTTCAAATCAGTGTTTAAACAAAAAAAGACTGCAAGTGGTTTCCCTACAATATGTCATGAATTGCCATGAAGTCTTGGCCAATAAGGGACATGTTTAAGCATTGAGTTTGTCCCGCTGACAGGCAGTTTAAAGTACAGATGGGTCGAAATAACTTCCCATATGTTTCTCTTAAGCCCATATCATGGCGGGCAAGTTTTGCAAAGCCAGGCTGGATGGATTATCGCCCCTATTTCACCTTTACGAATCTTCCATGCTAATTTTGTGCATTATAAGCTTGGTATTTGCTGTCGTTGCGGCTGTTGGAAACCTACTAGTTATTCGAGCCTTGTGGAAAGCCTCCTCAATTCCCGTCAATTTAAAGAAGTTATTTTTCAGTCTTGCTTTGTCTGATCTTGCTGTTGGAATGTTTGTGCAACCTATGTTTGGTGTAATCGTGGCGATGATGTTGATAAATGCATCGACAGGAAACTACAACTTTGTTCCATTCTGTCCCAACATTTTAACTGTATGCTACTATTTCATGTTTCTTCTCGCTTGTGCGTCGTTTTTGCGTATTACTGCCATTGCACTGGATAGACTTCTTGCTGTTTCTCTTCATCTTCGGTATCTAGAACTTATCACTGAAAAACGTGTTTTAAAAGGTTTGGTGTCCATATGGGCAACTAGCGCTGTAATTGCTTCCATATTTATTTCCCTTCCAGAAAACAATAACTTGGTACAAGCGATTGTTGACATTGCTGGCCTTCTCTTGACATCGGTGGCATATGTCCGCATCTACAAAATAGTCAAATATCATCAGAAGCAAATTCAATGTATCCAAATGCAGCTGCAAAATACCCAGACAACAGAGCTGCTCCGACAAAAGAAATCTGCCTTCAACGCTTTCTTCGTCTATGTTGTTTTCGTAATTTGCTATCTTCCTCTTATTTTTTCTGCAATACTGAACACAACAAACGTATCTTCAATTCCCGTTTTGATGGCTCATAATTTTACAGAGTTTTTAGTTCTCCTAAATTCTTCTTTAAATCCTTTTATCCTCTGCTGGCGATATCGAGAAATTCGGCAGATTGTGACCAGTGTTGTAATGAAAAAGTTGCGAATGAAGATACAGCCAACAAAGAGGGAGAATTCATCAAGAAGAGGAATCGACGTGACCCCCACAGCATCCAAGATCCAGTAACTAGAAAACCATAAAAGACGATGATGTCTATGTATGAAAATCCATTCGACGTGTTTGACATAATTTTCATCGAGGATTGTGTTTTAAATGTTAATTATTCTATAGCTACAGTTCTATGGAGAAGCGGAAATTGTTGTGTTAATCAATGTGCATCATGCCTAAACAATCAAGTTTGGCTAAACTATTTCCCAGCCAGACACACATTCATTTTAAGGTCCGCATGTAAACGCATTAGAAATATACTAACAGGTTTATCATGACGGCTTGCGGCCAAATGTGAACGATATAACGATCGTCGTATTGGAAACATTTTCGAAAGCTGTCTTCTAAGTGGACATGTTCGTTTGTGAGTAATTATGGTTTATATGAGGAGAGAAGTATATTTGCGAGCATTGAGTTAACATAAACTTATGACGGACTGACGTGCTGCGGTTGGGCGCCGCTTCTCGCCTTGCAGAGAAAATAACCGAATCAACAGAAAGCTTGTAGCCTTCTAGTGATCCTAATTTATGATCCCTATAATACTGAATATGTTTTAGACTTGAGCAACCATTTGCTGAAACTCTTTTTACTAAATGTTAAACCAGTTTTGAGTAAGAGTATATAAAAATTAAAATTGCCATTAAAAAATCGTAATCTTATTACTTTTAAATTTCCTTGCGTAAACGGCACGGCTTAGGTGAGCCAAGGGTCTGAAAGTGTGAAAAAATTAATTAAAGCGTGTCTTAATCAAATCCAGTAAATCATTCTGAAAGGAAATCTTAATATTACTTTTGATTCTTTCTTTTGATCGTACCTACAGCAGAAAACACAAAGACGACGATAACATGGTCTACTTACCCGTTTTGTGATATATATTCAGATAGATTTTAACTTATTTCAGCGGTCCTATAGTTTTTTTTTTTTTTCAATGAAAATGTTTAGTTTCATTCTAAATTTGAATGTGAATTTATTTCTCGTTATTACCTAACATGGCACTTGCGATTTTGGCTACCTGCTTTAAATCATGGGAGGTCTCTTCTTTAACACGTATATTAAAAAAAAAATGACAAGCCACAGTTTGCGACCTCTGAATTTCTGTTTAAAAAAAACCTGTTACAATTTACCACTCCCCCATTGGGTTTTTGCTGTCCTAAGGTATAGGAAGCATTTTTTAATGGAAAGGATTAACGATAGTTATGATGCAAACATCTTGGAAGATAGCATTGGCGGGGAACTGTGACGACCAATACCCACCTTCATGGATTTCACTTTTCAGAAATTCAGATTTCCATCAAAAAACATCCTCGGATTGACCCAAAGGCAACTGCAACTGGCACTCTAGATCTCGAGGAGTACGACTCATCTATTGCTTTTGTATCAGTCAGTTGTACTAATCAAAATTAGTACAAGCTGTTGCTAAGCAACATGGGCTACAAAAACATTTTCCCAAAGATCTTTCCTTTAGAAGGTGCGGTTTATAGAATTTTGGTCTGCAGGGCTTTACAAGAGTTGAATACCTCTTACAATAGCTTACGACAACGGATAAAATTTTTCTCTTTGATTTTTTACACTACGCAAGTCACTGAGCCATGAGGCAAAGCACATTTTTCTAGAGGTAATTAGTTCAATCCACGTTATAACGATTGTATGGAGAAGGTCCTTGGAAATTACTTTGAATTACGTGAGAAACCTATAAACTGCCGTCACTGGAATGCGTGGACCTACAGGATCAAATGCTTTTCCAAGGAGAGATCAGAGCACGAAAAAAAAAAAATAGTGACGTAAGGCCGGAATCATCATGCTTGCTCAAAGCTATAAACTGATGCAGGGCATTGCGTTTGATTTTCCGCTAAATATAAATCATAGAAAAAAGAGATTTTAGCGTTTTTTATAGTAACTGCACAGTCTCGCTGCCCGGGCAATGTAAGCCTTGTCGGATGCGCCTGATATGCTTGGTAATAGAGCCTTTTCACATGACGTAAGTACGGCGGCCGTACTGGTGCTTCAAAACAACAACGGCGGCCATATTGGCATTCCAAACAAATACTGTGAGAGTTGAACACTTTTCTTATGTAAAAAACTTCTTTTATTCCAATACATTTTCATTAATGATAGACGACGTGAGTGAAAATGCTCAATAGGCCAGTGTTTAGTTACTAGAATTCATACTAGGCACCGAGGCTGAGAAGTAAAACAAAAGAAATGAGGTATTGATCTCTTTAATGTCAATGCCATTTCTTTTATTTTTTTTTCCCTTCAAACCTTGCACCCAAGGAAGAATTTTAGTAACATCAGGCAACATAGTCACTCCACACAAGCACACTGCAACACGGAGTTTTATATCCATTTGCGATTTAATTTTTTATTGCAAAAGACATCCTTGTTTTATGAAAATATATAAATATACAGTTTGTTCGCATGTCAAAACTGCCCGAGTTATTTAAGAAGGAAACTAGAAGCAATAAAATATGTCTCCAAAAACATAAAGTTCCGTTTTGATTCCACTCAACGCCGTTTTCGTTTCCCCTGGCACTTTTCCCATTCCTTACAATCGCTGTGTATTTGACTCTTGTTGTTTTTTAAATAAAGGTTTTAAAACGGTATATAATGTCTCTTGTGGTTTTATTGCTAGCAATTATTAGTGGCATCTTTTAATTGATCCTTGTTAAGTTATTTAAAATTGTTTATATAATAATACGTCAAGGTGCTTCCTTGGGTTTTTCCTGTAGAACGAATTTGTATTCAACTTTGGGCTTGCGAACTCGCATAATTAGCTGACTAACGGTGCCTGAAACGCTGAGACTTTAATAGTTTTTCATTTCCTCGAGATAGATAGGAGAAAACGTCGGACAAAATTGAAATAGAGAGTTTTCAGTTCTATTTTGTGTATGTGTTTTGTTTATATATCTGAGTTTAAGCGCTAAATAAGATATAGGGAGCTGTTTCTCGCGTTGCTAGGTGATCGCTTCTCTGCAGTTCCTATTTTTGCTTTTTAATAGACGTTTAAAACAGGCTCAAGTTACTTAACGGGCAAGCCTAGGCAAGTCTATTGTTTCTATTGAATAAGGGAGACGCTCATTAGTAAACCTATACCGAATAAGTATGCAGGAAGACAGTTATTAGTATAGAGGAAGGCATTTTTTCCCTAGGTTACAACAATGGGTGACGTCATAGACTATCCCTAAACTATCCTTACCTATCAAAATAAAAGGTCAAATTTAGTTAATTTCTTATATTATTTTTACCGGATATTTCTGTTTCCAGTATCACATGTCATGTACATCTTTCGCCGACCTTTCTGGTAAAAGGCTTTCCGCATACAGTTTCCATTGTTTTCTTCTTTGTTTTTGCACGATCAATAAATTGCTGCTTCAATTAACGCTGGGGTTGCCAACACGTAGTCTGTACGGATGTGAGAATCTATTTCTAATCCAAACTGCTGCCCACGCTTAGTGAGAGGTTTGCGTGTTAGATTAAGCTTGTGAAAGTCATAATTTTGTTGAGTACATAACCTGAATTTTGTTAAAATATGAAAAGGTTTGGAAAAACAATAAAACCACAACACTAACAAAAAAGATACAGCTGATACTAACTTTAGGGATGCTACCGTAAATTCGAATTATAAAACTTCTCATGTGGCTTCTAATTTCATGGTAATTTGCCTAATGTTGATTAGAAGGGTTTGTATAAAAAAAAATATTCGTTTAAGGTCGTTATAACCTGAAACTCCCCTTTATACTTCATGACAATAATCTCAGTACAAATGTCTTTGAAAATACATTTTCGCTGTGGAAATATTAATCCAACTCTTTGTAGCGGAGTTATAGTGGTTTCAAGTGGGCCAAAATCCCGTACAAAAAGTTTACTGTAATTTTAGCCGTGTTTGCCCTCGAGCTAAGATGGCGCGCGTCAATACCGTAAAAAGGTCTACTAAGTGTTTAAAGAAAAAAAAAACTCGCTGCAAGTTGTTTCCCGCTGACAGGCAGTTTAAAGAACAGATTGGTCGAAATAACTTCCCATATGTTTTTCTTAAGCCCATATCATGGCGGGCAAGTTCTGCAAAGCCAGGCTGGATGGATTATCGACCCTATTTCACCTTCACGAATCTTCTATGCTGATTTTGTGCATTCTAAGTTTGGTATTTGCTGTCGTTGCGGCTGTTGGAAACCTACTAGTTATTCGAGCCTTGTGGAAAGCCTCCTCAATTCCCGTCAATTTAAAGAAGTTATTTTTCAGTCTTGCTTTCTCTGATCTTGCTGTTGGAATGTTTGTGCAACCTATGTTTGGTGTTATCTTGGCGATGATGTTGAGAAAGGCATCGACAGGAAACTACAACTTTGTTTCATTCTGTCCCAACATTTTAACTGTATGCTACTATTTCATGTTTCTTCTCGCTTGTGCGTCGTTTTTGCATATTACTGCCATTGCACTGGATAGACTTCTTGCTATTTTGCTCCATCTTCGGTATCTAGGACTTATCACTGAAAAACGTGTTTTAAAAGGTTTGGTGTCCATATGGGCAACTAGCGCTGTAATTGCTTCCATATTTATTGCCCTTCCTGAAGACAATAACTTGGTACAAGCGGCTGTTGACTTTGCTGGCCTTCTCTTGACATCGGTGGCATATGTCCGTATCTACAAAATAGTCAAATATCATCAGAATCAAATTCAATGTATCCAAATCCAGCTGCAAAATACCCAGACAACAGAGCTGCTCCGACAAAAGAAATCCGCCTTTAACGCTTTGTTCGTCTATGTTGTTTTCCTAATTTGCTATCTTCCTCTCATTTTTACTGTAGTACTGGACACATTAACAAGCGTATCTCCAATCCCCGTTTTGATGGCTCATAATTTTACAGAGTTTTTAGTTCTCCTAAATTCTTCTTTAAATCCTGTTATCCTCTGCTGGCGATATCGAGAAATTCGGCAGATTGTGACCAGTATTGTAATGAAAAAGTTGCGAATGAATATACTGCCAACAAAGGGGGAGAATTCATCAAGAAGAGGAATCGACGTGACCCCCACAGCATCCAAGATCCAGTAACTAGAAAACCATAAAAGACGATGACGTTTATGTATGAAAATCCATTCGACGTATTTGACATAATATTCATCGAGGATTGTGTTTTAAATGTTAATTATTCTATAGCTACCGTTCTATGGAGAAGCGGAAATTGTTTTGTTAATCAATGTGCATGATGCCTATAAACAATCAAGTTTGGCTAGCCTATTTCCCAGCCAGATACATTCATTTTAAGGTCCGCATGTAAACGCATTAGAAATATACTAACAGGTTTATCATGACGGCTTGCGGCCAAATGTGAACGATATAACGTTCGTCGTATTGGAAACATTTTCGAAAGCTGTCTTCTAAGTGGACATGTTCGTTTGTGAGTAATTATGGTTTATATGAGGAGAGAAGTATATTTGCGAGCATTGAGTTAACATAAACTTATGACGGACTGACGTGCCGCGGTTGGGCGCCGCTTCTCGCCTTGCAGAGAAAATAACCGAATCAACAGAAAGCTTGTAGCCTTCTAGTGATCCTAATTTATGATCCCTATAATACTGAATATGTTTTAGACTTGAGCAACCATTTGCTGAAACTCTTTTTACTAAATGTTAAACTAGTTTTGAGTAAGAGTATATAAAAATTAAAATTGCCATTAAAAAATCGTAATCTTATCACTTGTAATTTTTCCTTGCGTAAACGGCACGGCTTAGGTGAGCCGAGGGCCTGAAAGTGTGAACAAATTGATTAAACGCGTGTCTTAATCAATTCCAGTAAATCATTCTGAAAGGAAATCTTAAAATAACTTTTGATTTTTTCTTTTGATCGTACCTACAGCAGAAAACACAAAAACGACGATAACATGGTCTATTTACCCGTTTTGTGATATATATTCAGATAGATTTTAACTCATTTCCGCTGTCCTATAGTTTTTTTTCACTGAATGTGTTTAGTTTCATTCTAAATTTGAATGTGAATTTATTTCTCGTTATTACGTAAAATGATACTTGCGACTTTGGCTACCTGCTTTAAATCATGTGAGGTCTCTTCTTTAATGTGTATATTAAAAAAGAAAAATGACAAGGCACAGTTTGCGACCTCTGAATTTCTGTTTAAAAAAACCTGTTACAATTCACCACTCCCCCTTTGGGTTTTTTCTGTCCTAAGGTAAAGAGCAGCATTTTTTAATGGAAAGGATTAACGATAGTTATGATGCAAACATCTTGGAAGATGGCATTGGCGGGGAACTGTGACGACCAATACCCGCCTTCATGGATTTCACTTTTCAGAAATTCAGATTTCCATCAAAAAACATCCTCGGATTGACCCAAAGGCAACTGCAACTGGCACTCTAGATCTCGAGGAACACGACTCATCTATTGCTTTTGTATCAGTCAGTTGTACTAATCAAAATTAGTACAAGCTGTTGCTAAGCAACATGGGCTACAAAAACATTTTCCCAAAGATCTTTCCTTTAGAGGGTGCGGTTTATAGCATTTTGGTCTGCAGGGCTTTACAAGAGTTGAAAAGCTCTTACAATAACTTACGACAACGGATAAAACTTATCTCTTTGATCTTTTCACACTACCCAACTCACTGAGCTGAGACATGAAGCACACCTGGTTAATGGTATCAGTATTTTTTTAGAGGTAGTTAGTTCAATAAACTTTGTAACGATTGTATGGAGACCGGCTTGGAAATTACTCTGAATTACGTGAGAAACCTATAAACTGCCGTCACTGGAATGCGTGGACCTACATGATCAAATGCTTTTCCAAGGAGAGATCAGAGCACGAAAAAAAATAGTGACGTAAGGCTGGAATCATCATGTTTGGTCAAAGCTCAAAACTGATACAGGGCATTGCGTTTGATTTTCCGCTAAATATAAATCATACGAAAAAAAGATTTTAGCGTTTTTTGTAGTAACTGCACAGTCTCGCTGCCCGTGCAATGCAAGCCTTGTCGGATGCGCCTGATATGCTTGGTAATAGAGCCTTTTCACATGACGTAAGTACGGCGGCCGTATTGGTGCTTCAAAACAATAACGGAGGCCATATTGGTATTCCAAACAAATCCTGTGGGAGTTGAACACTTTTCTTATGTAAAAAACTTTTTTTGTTCCAATACATTTTCATTAATGATGGATACGTGAGTGAAAATCCTCAACAGGACAGTTTTTCATTACTAGGATTCATATCAGGTACCGAGGCTGAGAAGTAAAACGTACAAAAGAAATGAGGTATTGATCTCTTTAATCTCAGTGCCATTTCTTTTGTTTTTTCCCTTCAAACCTTGCACCCAAGGAAGAATTTTAATAGCATCAGGCAACATAGTCATTCGACACCAGCACACTGCAAGACGGAGTTTTATATCCACTTGAGATTTAATTTTTTATTGCAAAAGACATCTTTATTTTGTAAAAATATATATATATATACAGATTGTTCGTATGTCAAAACTGCCCGAGTTCTTTACGAAGGAAACAAGAAGCAATGTCTCTAAAAACATAAAGTTCCGATTTGATTCCACTCAAGGCCGTTTTCGTTTCCCCTGGCACTTGGCAGCCCCTGTGGCTTTGAAATTACCACCCCGCAGATTTCCTTGCACTATCAAGGCCTGCACTTCTTCAACAGTCAGCGGTTTTGCGTCATTTGCGCACCCGCTCTGTTCTCCTTCTTCCTCGATTGATGGCGGTGCGATCGAGAGGTTCGCATGCGCAGGCTGAGGTCCAGCTCCTTGAAGTCCATCGATGGGTGTTTCTCTTGCTTCGTCAATGGCCTCCTTAACTTTTTCCAGCGCTTTAGTTTGCAAGAGCTCGTTGCATTTCTGCTCAATAATACCCAGGTACTGTAACATGTTGTTATCATCGACTGTTACACCGCCTCCGAGAAGACTGGTAATAGCGGTGCGATCGCACTTGATCGAGTTGAAAACACCCTCGATTTTTGGCTTCAGGAGCTCTAGGAGTCGCCTTGTTACCTTGTACTCCTTTTTGACAGAAGTTGACTCCTCAGTAACCTTGGCCATTTTCTCTTCGAGTTCTTGCAGGATCTCCTTTCTGCGCACATCGTTCTCAACGCCCTCTTTCTTTATCAGTTCGATTTCATCTTTGAGATATTTAATTCCATCTTGTAGACATTCAATTTCAGTGTTCATGTTGTTGACATAATTAAACAGCGCGAAGTTTTTATCTTCTTTCTCAATAAATGAATCGACTAAGGTGTCAGTGTCCTCGATCCCTGTAGCTTCCTTGATCTGGTCAAAAATCACCTCATATTTTTTCGCTTCCTGTATGAGCCCACTAAGCTGGATTTCCATCTTCTTAAGCGTGCGCGCAATCAACTCCTGTTCAACAATTGACGAGCGATCTTCGGTTTTTGTCGTCATGAAGTCTCGGAGTTTCCGATCATGCTTGAGAACGCGCATGACATCCTTGATTTCTGCATTGTACATAGCCAGGTCTCGTTCCGCCCTCTCGCGTAAAGAAGCCATTCTATGCTGCGCCTCATCTCTAGCGTTGAAATGCGAGGTCGCTATTTCTGAGATACGATCGATTTCTCTCTTCCCTTCTGAAATTTCTGTTTGCAGACGCTTGGAAAGATCAAGAAACCTTACTTTCTGTCCTTCAATATGGCTTATGTGTTCCCGGAGATGTAAATTATTGGTCAAGACATCGTTAAATTTTTTGGTCATCTCATCAAGCCTGTTTTCCAAGACTCGCGTAAGCTTGATATTCGCGACATGTTTCTTGTGGTAAACATCCTTGCCTCCTCCCATCTTCTTACACTGTTTGTTAATCGTTTCCCTCATGTTAGCGACTTGCTCCTCAACGCACGCAACAGCGTCTTTTTCTTGTTTGATCTCTTCTCGCACTTGTTTTTCCCTATCGAGCAGTTCCACGATCTTTTCGACGTTTCCTTGATCAAACATCTCATTTTGGCGGCTTTTTGCAACCAGAATCATCGCCTCTAGTTCTTCGTTGTCTTTTAAGAGAGCATCAATGGTTTTGTTTTGTTTCCGCACTGTGTTTTCAGTTTCTTCAGTGTAAGTTTTTCTGTCATTGCGCATGCATCGGTACTGCCTCTGAAGATTGGACATCTCCATTTGGGCTTCAAGCTGGGCTTCAATAGGATCCACTTTATCTTCGTCTCTAAGACCGGGCATTTTCTCTCGCTTTGCTCCAGACAAACCAGATTACCTTCTAAGGAACAGAAACACCGCGAGATTTCAACTTTGTTTAAATTTGGATAATTGGTTGCGAAGTAACAAATCATTGCTGCGTTTATGACGTGTAAGTTCTTTTGCGCGCGCTAAAACACCGTCCCATGTAAGGGAATATCCCGATTCCTGAATTTTTGTTGTGGAATGCGGAGTATAACAATGTAGATAATGTACTTGTGGAATCCGGAATACAGTCGAGGAATCCGGAATCCCACTTGTTATACATGAAATCCAGAATCCAAGTTCCACTGAATCCACGACGGGGAATCCTAATCCTAGACTGTCTTGGATTCCGTTCTGATGGGGCGAAGAATAAAAACTGTTCGATCGCGTACATGCGGGACATTCCAAGAAGATGGGAAAGATTGAGTCGACCACACCCTTGTTCATTTACAGTAAATACGAATAGGTCGACCATAACTACAAATCAAGGAGGGGTCAATAGGTGAACACAGGATCACGCAACTTTGGCTACCCTTCCTTAATAATAGCAACCCCATTTAAATCCCATGTCCTTTTCTCAAACCAGGGCAATGGATATGAATTTACTCCAACCAGTAGGAGATTGATTATATCTCAGCTGCCAATATCAAAGCCGGTGTTGAAATCCGCCCTCCCCAGTCACACAATTTACTCTATTTCTCTCCTGCCCTACCAATATCCCTAACATTGTACGGCCTCCTCCCTCTAAAGTAATGGGAAGTGGTTACCCAAGTGTATTTCCCTTTGTTTTGGCCCCGCACAAGAAAAATCAAAGTTCTCTTTTGGCCATATAACAAATCTTTTATTGAGCTATATTTGGTCGGTCCAAAATGGCTAGAAATTTGCTTCGTAATTTTTTTGCGTTTTATTGATATTGACTTCGAATCGGTCCATAAAACTGACGCAAAAAGAACTTGGCCGATATCCAGCCATCTAGCTTTTATAACCTAACGCCTGGTCAATGACGCGTATATATCGGCCTCTGTACACATGTTTTTATAGCCTACGTAGCAAGCGTTTAATTTCCGTGCGGTTCGGAGAAAAGATCTGGGAAAGAGAGTCAAAGTTTGTGGGAAAAATGGCGTGAGTAAAAGGGCGGGAAGAGGAGGGAGAGGGTGGTGAAGAATGGCTCTCGTTTCCTGTCTTGCGCGGCCAAAACCGAAATCCCGTTCCCCGGTCTTTCTTTGATCCAAAACCAAACGGAAACGCTTGTTACGCAAGCTGCTGTTTTTGTCGAGCTCGACTTTATCTCGGTCAGTCAATGCTCAAAATTAACAAAAATAGAAAAAAAAACCGACTTGGCAAATATTTGACCACATGCTTGGTCAATAACATATCGTAAACTAGCCTCGTTCTTTCCTTTTTGGGGGGTTTTCATTGAGCCTGACTTGTTGCCGTTGTCTTGCCAAAAACGCAAAAAAAAAAGAAAAGAAAAAAAGAGAATGAAAGAAAGAAAATCGATACTGAAAAGACTGTATACTCCGAAGAATTAACAACAAACTACTGACTGATCCTGACGGGGCAGAGAGGAAGGAGAGCCAAAATAAAAGGTCAAATTTAGTTAATTTCTTATATTATTTTTACCGGATATTTCTGTTTGGAATTNATTTGGTCGGTCCAAAATGGCTAGAAATTTGCTTCGTAATTTTTTTGCGTTTTATTGATATTGACTTCGAATCGGTCCATAAAACTGACGCAAAAAGAACTTGGCCGATATCCAGCCATCTAGCTTTTATAACCTAACGCCTGGTCAATGACGCGTATATATCGGCCTCTGTACACATGTTTTTATAGCCTACGTAGCAAGCGTTTAATTTCCGTGCGGTTCGGAGAAAAGATCTGGGAAAGAGAGTCAAAGTTTGTGGGAAAAATGGCGTGAGTAAAAGGGCGGGAAGAGGAGGGAGAGGGTGGTGAAGAATGGCTCTCGTTTCCTGTCTTGCGCGGCCAAAACCGAAATCCCGTTCCCCGGTCTTTCTTTGATCCAAAACCAAACGGAAACGCTTGTTACGCAAGCTGCTGTTTTTGTCGAGCTCGACTTTATCTCGGTCAGTCAATGCTCAAAATTAACAAAAATAGAAAAAAAAACCGACTTGGCAAATATTTGACCACATGCTTGGTCAATAACATATCGTAAACTAGCCTCGTTCTTTCCTTTTTGGGGGGTTTTCATTGAGCCTGACTTGTTGCCGTTGTCTTGCCAAAAACGCAAAAAAAAAAGAAAAGAAAAAAAGAGAATGAAAGAAAGAAAATCGATACTGAAAAGACTGTATACTCCGAAGAATTAACAACAAACTACTGACTGATCCTGACGGGGCAGAGAGGAAGGAGAGCCAAAATAAAAGGTCAAATTTAGTTAATTTCTTATATTATTTTTACCGGATATTTCTGTTTGGAATTCCAGTATCGTATGTCATGAATCTTTCGCTGACCTTTCTAGTCAAAAACTTTACGCTTTCATTTTCCATTGTTTTGTTCTTTGTTTTTGCACGATCAATAAATTGCTGCTTTAATTAACGCTGGGGTTGCCAACACGCAGTCTGTTCGGAAAAGTGAGAATCTATTTCTTATCCAAACTGCTGCCCACGCTCAGCGAGAGGTTTGCGGGTTAGATTAAGCTTGTGAAAGTCATAATTTTGTTGAGCACATAACCTGAATTTTGTTTAAACATGAAAAGGTGTGGGAAAAAAATAAAAACACAACACTGAACAAAAAAGATACGGCTGATACAGACTTTAGGGATGCTACCAAAACGAGGAACAGGAAAATGAAAAACGGGACTTTTTGAACCTTAGCCCTATCAGTAACTTCACTTTCATCTCTCTGCTTCAGGTTCTCATTTTTCAATTTCCCGTTCCTAGTGCTCTTCCATGCTCCCCGTTATCCGTTTTTGTCGTTTTTAGTAGCATTCGACGTTTAGTGGATCTGTCAGTGATTTTTTTTTAAAAGCAACTTGCGCGCAGTGTCATCCTTTCCGCTCTCCTCGTCGCTCGTCGGTTCTCGATATTGGCCAGTTCCATTCTCCTCAGATGGCGAGCCTTGCAAATCGCCGGATTATTTCATCAGGATTGTAGTGGATATGAGGCAAGGCGAGTCCAACATTCTCCAGATTTCAACGTGGAAAACATTTTTATTACAGTAACTAAAAATATATTTATTATGAAAAATCCGACCGATTTCGGTTAAACGGTGGAAAACGGTGTGGATCCGTGCCTAAGCATTAATACCCAGGTGGCGGATCGAGCAGCAATCGAGCCCGACAGAGGAGTCAAGTGGGAAGTGGGAAGTTAGAAGTGGGAAGTTAGAAGTGGGAAGTTAGAAGTGGGAAGTTGGAAGTGGGAAGTTAGAAGTGGGAAGTTAGAAGTGGGAAGTTGGAAGTGGGAAGTTTGAAGTTGGAAATCGGAGGTCGGAAGTCGGAAGTCAGACGTGGGAAGTCTAACCATGCAGCATTGAGTCTCAACGGTCAGAAATCAGAAATCCGGAGTTCGAACTTTGTCTGGTCTGAAGTTTGAATTATGAAGTCTTGAGTCTGAAATCTGAAGTCGGAAGTCTGAAGCCGGAAGTCGGAAGTCGGAAGTCACAAGTCGGAAGACCCTCCTCGGCTTTCGTAGTTTCTCGTTTCGCGCGAAAAGTCCCCATCGGCGAAGAGCGAGGAGAAGCGTTTTCGCAGGCTACCATGAATTTAATCAAAATCAACGAGCGAGAACAATCCCTTTTTTTCAAATCGTTAGTCAGCCATAGCGTCACTTATGACATACATGGGCATTTGCATGCAACTATTGTCAACAACTTGCAAACATGAGGAACCAATTTTTTGTAACCGTCAAAAATTTGACTTGTTTCCTTGTTTCATAAGTCATGCGCGAGTCGCGCGTACATGATTGGTGGGAGAAAGCGAGATATGCACTGTCACGGAATAATGACGTCATTTTATCACGTGACCTTTCGTACCAGACTGTGCGAAGTTGAGTGTTACTCACCTCCATAAAGATGGAGAGAAGCATATTTTTGGCCTGTTTATGGCTCACGTTGATTGGGATAACACAGGGAGACACCATAGGAAAGTCAAGAGTTAGGCATTTGTTCGTTCAAAGGCGTTCTCCCATTCCTGGTTCGCCGAAAAAATTATTCGAGCTTGCGCACGAAGTTGAAAACAAGCTGCAGTCAAGCAGCGACCAGAATGTTCACAAACTTTTATCCCGAGTTCGCCGATCGCTGAATCCGGACATGAAACCCTCCGTTCGAAAATTGAAAATTGAAATTCGAAAATTGTTTATAAAGAACTTCGAAACAGAATCGTCACTCCACCAACTGCTAAACTAAAGTTTGATGCTAATTTTGTTAATGATACTTTGAACTGGAAAAAAATCTATAGCTTGCCATATCGTGTTGCCTTAGATACAAAGACTCGCGAATTTCAGTATAAATTATTAAACAGATGCCTTGTGACAAATACCTTCTTATGCAAAATTGGTATTATACCATCTCCAGCGTGCTCCTTGTGTGGTGAATCGGACGAATCCCTCGAACATCTTTTTCTGTCTTGTCATTATACTAAGAATTTCTGGTCTGAGGTTATAAAATGGCTTGTTGATCATAAGGTCAAGATTGAAAATCTTTCAGACAAAGATATACTGTTTGGTATTATTGGATGTTAGGATGAGATATTTGTGAATCATATTTTATTACTGGCAAAACAATATCTATACTCTTGTAGA